TCCACCTACATCATTGATGCTTCATGCGGTTACAGCCATAAACATTCCACCCCACGTGAGTGTTAACTCTAAATCAAAACACCAGAACAGCCCAGCCTGAGATAGTGCTTAAGTCCGTTGCCTCCATGAAACTTGCATATAGCAATGGATAGGACCCAGAATTGAGCGGTGAATGCGGCCGCCTCCCCCGCTTCCCTTGTCGTGTAAGTCCGTCCTCAATTGTCGTGCTGCAACTTCCATGATATTTAAGCAGCATGAGTGCTTCCTTCCTTCGCAGCATCCACAGAACATCAACCCAAATCACTCGAATCCAAACATCCTACAATCAGATTAACATCAGATCAACATCCTGTGACAAACCATTCCACTCATCCTACAGCAAAATGGCTCGTCTTGCACCTTACCTCGAAGAGCATAAGAACATCACCGGTGCCGGTGATGCCCGTCCCACAGCCATCAAAATCGTCGAAGACCAAGGCCTCGTTGGAAAATGGGCTGGTAAGGTCGTCCTCGTGACGGGCTGCTCCCCGGGCGGCCTGGGCCCCGAGACCGCCCGCGCTATGCACGTCACGGGCGCCGATGTCTACATCACCGTCCGCGATGTCGCCAAGGGCGAGGAGGTCGCTAAGGACATTCTATCTGACGGCAAGCCTGGAAAGGTTGAGGTCATCAAGCTGGACCTTGGCTCTCTCGACAGTGTAAGACAAGGGGCCAAGGAGTTCCTCAGCAAGTCGGACAAGTTGAATGTGCTCATCAACAATGCCGGTACGTGATCCCTTGCACGAAACTCACGACATAGTCTTGACCTTATGATCAGGCGTCATGGCCTGCCCCAAAGGCAAGACTGTAGATGGCTTCGAGACTCAGTTCGGCACCAACCACCTGGGCCACTTCCTGCTCTTCCAGCTCCTCAAGCCCGCCCTTCTTGCTGCCTCAACGCCAGAATTCAACTCCCGCGTCGTCAGCGTCTCTTCCACCGGCCACCGCAACGGCAGGATCCAATTCGAAGACTTCAACTTTGACAGCAAGGTCGAGTACCATCCCTGGGCTGCCTACGGCCAGGCCAAGCTTGCCAACATTCTCTTCGCCAACGAGCTAGACCGCCGCTACGGCTCCAAAGGTATCCACGCCCTCAGCTTGCACCCAGGCGGAATCGCGACGCCTCTGCAGCGCCATTCCCCCGATCTCCAGGAACTGGTGAAGAAGCCCGAGGTGCAGGCATTCCTCAAGAGCACCTCTCAAGGCGCGGCGACGTCTGTGTGGGCCGCCGTGGCGAAGGAGTTCGAGGGCCAGGGAGGAAAGTACCTGGAGGATGTGAGTGTTGCGGAACAGGCAGCTCCGGATGTGAAGCCCAGTGATCCGGGCTACATCCCGGCGGCGTACGATCCGCCAACGGAGAAGAGGCTTTGGATTGAGAGTCTGAAGTTGGTTGGCGTTGAGGATGACGCGTAAGGGACTGGCAGATCAAAAGCCATGCACAAAGAACTGGCGCAGCGTCTCTTATAGACAAACAAGATTGACAGCATTTCAAAGGAATCTTACGCACATTGTCTACCGCGTTGACTTCGTAGCGGAAAACCTCTCTCGTTGAGATCGTAACGAATTTGATTGGGCAAAATTGCTAGTCCATAGTACAGCATGGCCCTCAAGGTTCTAATAAGATTGAGAACCAGAAAAAGGCGGCAACCCAGATTTGAACACAGTCAAAACGTCCGGCCTCCAGAAGACAGCACAGAATCAACTCTGAACCTGGACAAAAATGGCAAAAGTTCAGATCTGACAAGTCATCATGTCCTATGAAACTCGCTTCTCCACGAACATCCAACCCTACAGACCGGGGTCATCGGTGTAACTCATACGCAGAGGCCACATTGGACGTACGTGTTCATGTTCGTGAAGCAACCAGTTTGCACAGGGGAAAGAGGCGTCTCTCAGGAGAGGCACACTCAAACCACTGCCCCATGTGTCCCCCCGCCGGCTAGAGGGGGGGACGGTGAGAGCATTGGAAGATTTCAGAATGATAAAGGTAGCGTGGCGTCGTCAGGCGGCCTGGGTGGGTAAAAGTCATCAAGGTCTACGGTGCTCATGGTTGGCGTTTGCTGTAGGTGGCGCACTATGTATGAATGAATTGTCATGAGGCCAAAAAGTGGGCAGAAAATTAATGAGGATTCAAATATTGTGGTGTTGCTCAACCAGAGCTACGGAAACTGAGCGTTTGTTTCGACTGCTTCATGGTTGTGTCTCAGATAGAGAGGTATTGGAAACCAGAGTGATTTCTACCATACGTTCTTTCGCGTGGCCATCTAGAAATAGCGTTCCAATAACATCCGTAGGCGCGTGTCGCTCTGAGACGAATCTGACTACAATTTGACAGAAAGTAAGCCAACATCGGAGCCACCGGCGTCATTCCGGATCGTCGCCGCTAGAACGGCCCGCCGTCCCCTCCGCCCCCGCAACCCGCAGCGGCCCCACCAACAGAAAACGTCCCCGCCATCGTCATGACGTCCTCTCACCCTGTTAATCAAACCCCTTTACATAAACCTCTCTTTTCACTCAAACACATCCCACCATCTCATCACACTCATCACGGCGTAAGAAATCATGGCACACACAGGCATGCACTACGCCCACTGCGGCGCCAACGACGGCTGCAAACTCGCCTTCCAGTCCTCCCTCTCGCTCACCGACGCCGGCGCCGCCTCCGCCACGCAATGCGTCCTCCTCATGCACGGCTTCAGCGGCTCCAGCGACTACTTCTACCGCAACTTCAAGCCGCTCATCGACCGCGGCCTCTGGGTCGTCGCGCCGGACATGCGCGGCCACGGCAAATCCGACCGCACAAAGGGCGGGTACCACGTCGCCCGTCTCGCCGCCGACCTGCACAACCTCGTGGCCCACCTCCGCCGCGCCGCGCCCCAGGTCAAGATCGTGCCCGCCGGCTGCTCCATCGGCGCCGCGGTGCTCTGGACGTACGTGGAGCTGTTCGGCTGCGCCGATTTTGCGGGCTTTGTCTTTGTCGACCAGGCGCCGCTGCAGGACCGGTCGGAGTTTGACGGGTGGGACGAGAGCAAGGCGCACACGGGCTGCTACGACGAGAAGAGCATGTTGGGCGCGCAGAAGTTCTGGATTAACGAGTCCAAGGCGGCTCATGTCGATCTTGTGGACGGCTGCTTGGGGTACCGTGCTAAGCCTGATCCCAAGGACGACATCTCAGCGGAGAAGAGGAAGGAGGACGAGGACTTCTTTACGGGTATCAGCGCTCTTTGCGACCAGACGTGGCTGGCGAGGTTGCTGGCCGACCACACGCGGTATGACCACCGCGAGGCGATTGAAATGATCAGCGTTCCGACGCTGGTGATGGCGGGACGGCGGTCTGGGTGCTTCCCGTTGGAGGGTATGCTTGAGACGGTGAGGAGGGTGGAGAAGAACAGGCCCGGTCTGGCGAAGGAGTCTGTCTACGAGTCTGGGCACTGGCTATTTTACGAGGAGCCTGAGAAGTTCAACAAGGAGATTGGGGATTTCGTCGATCAATGCACCCGTTGAGTCCGGTTCATGGGCTGCGGGGGTCGTGCACATGCAAAAGTTGCAGCACAAGTTGCAGGATGGAAAACCAAAAGTTGTATACCTGGCCGAGGTCTTTTATTATGGTGTAAATGCGACTATATGCGAATTCTATGCTAACAAAGGAAAGTCCGTAACTATGCAAATGCTCCCCTAAATACTTCCCAAACTGTGTTGTTGCTGATTTTGCATGATCCTATGTTCTCTCTATGCAGTTATTTGTTCTCTAGCACCCATGTATGAATACGTCTATGAGACAGACGTCTTAGAAGATGGGAAGAAGCTGGACATCGGCGCAAGAAGCAAGCGTTCTTTGTCCAGCCTGCTTGAAGCTCAAGACGATGGCACCGTCCCTGGGGCATGCCATCCACGCGCCTCCATCGTACTGAAGTCCGGTGGCACCGACGGTAACACCGGTGGTGCTGGCCGAGCACTGCAGCTCGACGACGTTGGAGCTAGGCACGGTGGCGGTGCCGCCCGGGGTGACGATCATACCGGCGCCGGGGGAGGAGCCGCCGTTGAAGTTGACGACGCCGACGTTCTGGTCGGTGGTGTAGAAGGTGGCGCCGCTGCCGGGGGCGGCGAAGTAGAGGGGGGCCACGCAGTCGTCGTTGGGGATGTAGGTGAGCTCTTGACCCTGGACGGAGGGGTTGAGGTCCAGGCCGGTGACGTTGGCCGCGAGGCGGAAGGATGCGGTGCTCCTGGCGGGGATGCTGGCTGCCGTCGCGGCAGCGGCGAGGACGGTAGCCTTCAGGAGAGTGTACATGACCATTTTGAAGATGTTTTGGGGTTGAAAGTTATAAGGTGGTGGGGATAGTGTTGAGTTGTTGATTAGGTTGATGAGATTGATTATCAGATTGATGTGTTTGTGTGAGTTGATTCGATGAAGACAAAACAAACTCGTTCATCGGATCTTTCTTCATCTTATATAGAACCTTCATCATTACAATCCATGAATGCAACGTTCCTTGATACTCCCAAAGTGGCAATGTAAGTCACTCGGAATCTTTGAGGCTGTTCACCTCGGATCCTTCGAACCGTCTATTTACGTGCATGTCGCTAATCCGCAGTATACGCTTCGGATTTTAAGTGTCTTGAAATTTCCCTATCTAGAGTCAGGAAAGCTTAGCCCCAGCTGATCTTTGAGGCTTGGCGATGTTAGTGCTTAGGGAAATGCGAGTGCCGGCGTCCCGGTCAGACCCCCCGCTTGTTCCGGGATGGCGGGGTCATCGGCTGCGGGAGGTTTTCCTGGGGGTCGGGTTGATGGTGCCGACCCTCCGCACAGAAAAATGCGTTGCCATCAGATGCAAGTTGAGAAGTTCTTGTCCGCTTTCACATTTGCAAACGCCGACGGGCTTCATCGCAGCCTCCACCACAGGTCTCGCTTACCAGTGCGGCTCGATCCTTGGTTCCCAATTGATCGCCATCACACGGCCACTATGCCTCGTATTTTCAATCAAGCAGGTAAGACATTCGGCCCTACTCGACATTGACAGAAAGTTGAACGGATCTCACTGACATATGGATAGCATGGTTCGGACTCTCATCAAATAATTATTCGTTGGCAGTGTTGCTAACAAGCCTTGTTCTCATAATCAGCAACACCTGTCGAGTCCGAAAGATCAAGTGTAAGCCTATTCAATCTTACTATTGGCGCCCCATCTTACACGAGGCCAGGCGACGAAGCGGTTCCGATTTGCCAACGATGCGCCAAAGCAAACCGATACTGCGACCGCAGCGCGGCTCCTTCACAATTTCATAACAAGACCCCAGAAGGCGAGGAGACGAGTGGACTCACGAGTGAGTAGAACGAAGAACAAATCAATGTTACTGGCGCCTGATTAAGCCTTTTAGCACCCTCGGCCCTAGGAACGTTCCCTTCGCCAACAAAGCCACGAGACGCCCTGTTGAATCCTTCGGTCGCGCGCTATTTTCACCATTACATCACTGACATTGCGCCGTGGTATGATCTCAGTGACAGCTCTCACACGTTTGCGACAAGACTGCCCGAGATCGCCTTGGAAAACTCGTTGCCGTTTGCTGCGATTTTGGCTCTTTCCGCGGTGCACATCAGTCAGACAACTGCGCCTTCAGCTAAGGCAGCAGCTGAGTTTTACCATGGTCATTGCATTCGTAGTCTGATTGATCTCAAAGATGATGAGCATGATGAGGTAAACACGCAAGGACTCGCGCTTGCATCTGTTTGTCTGCTCCGTTCATATGAGATTCTCAGCGGTACGCTTGAGCCATGTGAGACGAAATTTCTAAAGCTGACCACGCGTAGAGGAAGTTGACCCAAACAGACATCTTCGGGGTGCCTACTCACTGGCAGCGTATCGAAGTCCTCTCGTTGACTATCTAGGGTCTGGGCTGAGGACTGCAGGGTTCTGGAACTACCTCCGTGAAGACATCACTTTCAGTTTGTTTCAGCGATGCCCTTTGAAGATTGATCTGGACCAGGTGCCGTTGCCGAGTCAACATCACACTGATCACAGCTACTTGAATACCGTATCGCTCATTCTCGGCCGAATCATCAATGCGTGCTTCTCAGACACCATCGCAGACCAGACCTGGACTGTTCTCTTTGACATGCTCCGCAGCTGGTCTGTAGACTTACCGGCTCGTTTCAGACCATTTTCAAGGGAGGATCGAGGGCTCGGACTTTCGCTTCCGTCGATATGGATGCTCAGAGAATGCCATGGTAGGTTGAAGCGGCTCCAATGATGAAGATCGCTAGCTGAGGTTGAATCAGCATCTGCGCTGCATTATCGACTTGTTAGTGTGGCTATATTGTGCGCTCAAGCAACACCCCAAAACGTCGCGAAGCTGAGACAGCTTCTTGAACATGATCATAAGATCGGGGTAACGAAAGAAGAAGTGCTGGAAGCATGCGGTCTCGATCTGTGTGGCATCGCCTTCACGGCAAATATGCCTGCAGTCCTCGTTAATGCCTTTGGGCCAATTGCGCTCTGTGGGTGAAAGAGAGTGCTGCCGACGAAGTGAAATTAACGTCAGTGCCAGGCGCAAGATTCATCCGCAGTGAAGCCTCCCAGCAAGAGGTCATCCGTCGACTCATGGCGTGTAAGCGGTCAATCGGATGGCCGGTTCAGCGGCTAGTATCCGACTTACAACATGCATGGAGTGGATCGTATCCCGCAGATTCCCAACGAAACAGCGAATTACAACCAATGTAATAAGCTATTTGCGGAGGCCGGGGAAGCATTAGTGAATCTGGGGATTAGATGGGTAGGCTCAGAGGGGAAGCATAACCCGAGCTCGGGTTTGGAGGGGTAGCGGGTTGAGCAAACCCGAGCTCGGCATTGGGGTAACGCTCACGGAACCTCTGCCTACTCCAAGTATTTAAATGCATGAGACAGGCATCAAATATTCTCATCATGTCTCAGTGTCAAGCATCTTGAATAAGGCAATATGAGAGCTCTGTCAAAAACTTCAGACTCGCTGCTCCGTCAGCGTGCACTTATCTCACTCAGCTGCAGCAACAGGGGCCTGGCGTCCCTTACACGCGAACCCCAACCAACTAACCCGTTTGTCATCCGCCCCTCAGAGGCTGAAGTGCGCAACAGCCTCCTTGCGCCGCGAAACCTTGAACTTGCTGTCCGGCACTTACACGCCGATGGGCTTGTTGTTGTCGAGGATGTTGTCTCTCACAAGGACTTGGACACCCTCAATGAGAAAATGGTGAAGGATGCGAGATACCTCCAATCCCTCGGCGAAAAGGGCCCTTTCAACTACAATTTAGGAAACTTACAACAAGACCCTCCGCCTGTGGCTGAGTATTTTTACAAGTCCATCTTTACCAGTATGGTCCCTTTTGCTCGATCATGAAGACGCACTCATAAAGTTACAGACCCCATTGCAACGCAGATCACATCGAATGTCCTTGGGCCCCGTCCAAAATGGACCTTCTGCTCCGCCAACTCTGCCATGCCACCTCTTCCCGGCGCCTCACCCCAACGTCAACCCGTCCACTCCGACGCCGACTTTGCTCACCCATCGCACCCATTTGCGCTAGTCACCAACATCCCACTGGTGTCCATGACCCCCGAGAATGGGTCCACGGAGGTCTGGCTCGGCACGCATACGGCTGACGTCTCGGCACAGGAGGGAAATCATGGTGAGCGGGCCAGCGGAAGAATCAGGGAGGATCTTTTGGCTGAGAGGCGTGGGGTGAGAGGTCCGTCGCAACCCGATGTCAAGAAGGGTAGTATTGTGTTGAGAGACTTAAGGCTGTGGCATGCTGGGATGCCGAATATGAGTGACGAGGTAAGGGTGATGCTTGCGATGATTCACTTTGCGCCGTGGTATCGGAACCCCATGAGGTTGCAGTTTGGGGAGGACATGAAGGGCTTGCTGGCTGGATTGGAACCTCACTTGGAGATTCCGGTTGATTGGGCGAAGAATGATGAGGTTTGGGGGTCTTACTTGCATAGGGGATTCGGGAATAGCTACGACTTTGATCAGGAGAAGTGAATCAAGGGGCACATCTGCCAATTGCCGCGCTAAACCTGCCTTTCCGTTATCATGCGCCCATGCAAAAGGCATCCAAGGCTATAATATTTCCATTTCATCTTTATTGGGACGGCAAGCACATCTGATTCATAGACGCCAGTTCAAACTTTACACTCATCGAACTGACAGGTCACCCACCGACGACAACAGTTGCAATTTTCTAGCAAAAAGCCTGGAACATGCATTGAAGGATTGGCCTAGAGATACGTGTGTATGCATTAAATTCCAACCCGCTGACGCATGTCACCCAAGGCAAGATCCTACGTCTTCTCATTGCTTCAGCCTCAACTTTTCTGCGCAAGTATTCCGGTCTCACAGCGGGTCAAGCTGACAGCAAGGTGGAGTTTCTGCAAAACCCATGATCACCTCGTATCCCCAAAGCAATGAACTTGAGGCCAGAGGGTGGTTGGGTCGTTTCTCTGAGGACATCGGTGACCCCTATGAGTTCTATAAAGCACTTGACACCTGTAAACGGGCCCCCCTTGATTCTGTGTCTGAGGAGTCAACAATTCATCAATACTCATACACTCTTCCTCCACCTGCCTTTCACTACCAAGAGACCGCAACGTACACGTCAGCGCTCGCGGGACATAAGTCCCGCGATTGCTTAAATTCGGAACAACTATGATGGTCAACGCTTAGCGCAAAGTCGGCCTAGCTGCGCCCAGGAAAGCGAGGTTTTATCCTCAGCGCTCAGATGCAACCACGAAGATCACATCATTCATCGACAAAGCAATTCGTCAAGTGTAGAAGCGGGCTGGGAACACCCTATCGGAGCATACGTCCACATCGACTGCCTCGAAAACCCCAGCTTCCGCCGGTATCCTGGAGACTGGAATCAACGATATGTTGACCCAAGGAACCTCAACCGCTCTGCCTCAGAGTCCTCGGGTTCAAATCTGAAGGACGATGCCACTCTCAATACTAAACATACACTCGCCGAGAACGATGGTGAAAGCTCCGCCATTTCCAAGCAAAATCATCCATTTCAACATCAAAAGAACCGCAAAAACCAATCTTCTTCGCTGCCTACTTCGCACAATTCTTCATTCAAAGCCACTGTTACTTCGCCTGCCACAGCCCCACCACTCACATTGTCTCTTTCAAAGCCAGCTGAGCCACAAGAATCTTTGGCTCCCAATCATGTTGAGCGCGAGCCTCATTCTCGTACTTATCACTGCCAGCTGGACTGTAAGGGCGTGTGGTATTCACAACGAGACCTCGAGGTCCGGCACTATGGTCCTTTCCATCAGAATGACCCTAGGATCGCTAGGATCTCTGGGATCCAAGAGTATCGGTGTGGCTTCTGTGGGAAGAGCGACTTTCGCCAAGACAACCACACGCGCCATCTTCAGCGAAAAAGAGCTTGTACATGTGCTGCTATTCTGCAGACTTACCTTTGCGGAAGGTGTGGCTATGAAACGAGCAGCAAAGGAGAACATTTGGAGCACTTAAGATGAAGAAGATCTTGCTCCTAGACCTCGAGAGGTCTTACGGTTATTCTCAACATGATTTTGCCGCCGCAGATGCGACGCTACTGTCCTAATTCAACCACATTTCTTGCCTTTTCTCGTCCGAGCACGGCTAGGGCTTAAATTTTCAGTCGTGTCTCTCCGCCGCTTTCCGGACTCATTGTATCTTGTCCTCTAGTCTCCCAAACTCGCATCTAATATTCGAAAGTGGACAGATTAGGCAACAAATGAGCACCTCGAAGTGTTTGCGAAATCACTTACATCAGAGACGTAGCCGAGCGAAAGCGGCTCTTGGCGGTGCTTCGATGAAAGCATCTAGCCTTTTGGATTCATCTCGCGATCCTCGCGCAGCAACGCCAGCATTGGTTTCGTTCGACCATTTGCCACTCTCGGGCAGGAGGAGGACCACATCAAGACTTGCCAAAATATTTCTACGCCGAACATTTCCTCAGCATCTTCTTCCCAAATTTCTTTACTTCCTCGTCTCTCGAGGCGCCAAAACCTACATCTACGAACCCCCCCCCCCCCCCCCCCCNCCCCCCAACCCCCCCCCCCCCCAAGCCTTACTATTGAGATATCGCGAGCACGAGCAAGAGTCGACTAAGATACGTGGCCACTACGTCCGAATGAGTATGGCTGCGTCCCGGCGGCCCATAAGTACTCCTCTTCCGATCCGAAGTTCGCATAGCGGTCTGTATTGGATTTCCTGTAGTACCAGCATCGTTCTCACCAAGTCTTCCAGTGCATCCTTTCCACTAACACATTTCGGTATGTCTATGGTTTCTTCTCCTTAAGGATTGATCTTCAGTTAGGGAAGCCTACTGAAAAGACATGCTTGAACACGTCGTCAAATGTATTACCAAAGGCTACGCAGACCAATGCGAACAATAAGGAAACCCAGAGAGCCTAGCAACGTTGGCTTGCTGGTTCTGAAGGCACGCAAGATAAGAGTAATCAGTTCCTCGATTAATCCCGGTTCCTGCTATATTGAGACGGAAGAAAAGAATAAGTCCAGGACTGTGACCCATGCTGTATACTAGCTTGTCTTGGGTGCACTAATCTCTTCGCCCATCTCCTATGTCCCTCCGGTATCTTCTTCTGCCTAATCTTCCTTTGTGGTCATGCCCTGAACCACGCGGACTCGTCAGGCTCACTATATCAATATTGCTCTTTACAACCTTTGATACTCTCCTCTTCGGCATCTTGCAACCGAGGAAATGACTTTTGGACCAAGAAGCGGACTTGAACCTGAACCACACGGCTATCTGGAGCTGAACGAAGGTTATGTCACTGCGACATCCGACGATCGCACTCTCAAACTAGACTCTGCTACCTAAAACTCCTCCTGAAGGCCCTCAAAAATCTAGACCGTTCAAGTCTTGGCGCCGTCTCTCCCAAAACGGCACTGCTTATAGTTGATATCGAGGAATTTCGCATGCAGCACTACAAGTGATGTCCGAACTTGCGGCTTAATGAAGAAATAGGCAATAATAGTACAATTTGGAATCGCGAGAGGGTGACTGCCGGGTGGGATACCGTCGGTCTGGCACCCCTTACGAGAGCACACCGTGGGCCATGTAAGCCGACAACGGAGTCTCGGAATGAGCTTATCGGCCAAAGTAATTGTGTTCGCTTCTCGATGCAGGCTGGCAGAACCCAGATCTCGACAAACCCGTCGATTGCTAACCTTGCTCAACTACTTCTTCCATGGAAGCAAGCCTTCTGGACGGCGGAGGAGTAGGGATAATCGCTTTCACTTACATTTAGCGTTTGAGTTAAGCTCCATGTCAAGTGGATGCATGCCGGCTGCTTAAATCCTCCATCGGTAGCTTATCTCCATCAGGCATATCTCGCGCTTCCAAACAACACATCGAAACCTTCATCCCATCGATCCTGACGTCAGTTTCACAAGTCAACCAGTCTTCGGGGAGCAATGCAAGACCAAGTTTTGACACGAGAAAGTCTCGGAGACACACGGCCCCGCACCGAGTCATAGCCGTAGGAAACTCGAATCGGGGACGCCACCGGAGCTTCGAACCATTCTTCTACCTTGGGCATGTCTTGAAGGTTCTTGCACCGCTATGATGTTGGATCACACGTATTCGTGAGGCCCCGGTGAGAGTGCCCGCGGCAGTGATACTGTCTGATCATATGTGCCCTCCCCCGCAAGATCATGGCGCTCGATGTCGGCCCCCCGCGCAGCATCGTCTGTTAACCGTGTGCTGTGACTGGCTTCGGACGATGACGGTCGTCTATGCGGGTGAACTTTGGCGAAGGCCCGGGCCGGACGTGCATTAGGTAGAGAAGCATAGTAGAAGTAAGATAGCACCCGTCCGCAGAGAATCCTTCCGAATAGTCTCTCCCGCATCACTTGGGGCACAGCGAACGCGATAAAATGCCATTTTTCGATTACGTGCGAGATACGCTTGCGTGGCAGGCCATCCGTTTGGTGACGGGTGGCACGCTGCCCGAGTTTCAATATTTCGACGAACGACATCCTTTGCTTAGACAGAGGTATGTGAATGACAGCGCTCGACGAAATGGGCCGCAAGAGACGACGGAGGCGATGGGGTCATACGCGAGCAGAGGTCCGGCTCTGAAACGCAACGCATCGGAGAACAGGGCGAGGAACGCGACTAGAGATCCCTACACACGCGGGCGCTCTTTTGACGAACCAAGATTACCACATAGCCACTGGTCGAATGAGACTCTGGAGATCTCGAACTTGGAGAAGTATTCTTCCAACTCGCCCATCGCCAACAGAAATTTGCACCTGGTCCAATTTCTTCCAGACGATCCAGAGGTACAATCCAATTGCCTAGGTTTGTGCTGTTTTCCACTGACATGACAACAGGATCCAAGGAACTGGACTGGTCTCAAGAAAACCATCGTCAGCTTTCAGGTTTGCCTACTCATTGCCTGCACATATGCCGGTGCGTCCATCTATACGGTCGGGACGGCCGGCGTGAGGGAGCAGTTCGGAGTCAGCGAAGATGTTGCCCTTCTTGGACTGACCACGTTTGTTCTTGGATACGGAATCGGACCAGTGAGTTGCGTTCTACACCATTAAGACATCGTTATCTCATTCAGGCGCAGATGGTTTGGAGCCCGCTGGAAGAGATGCCCCAACTCGGGCGAAACCCCATTTACGTGTTTGCACTCATCATGTTCATTGTGGCTCAAATACCGATAGCTCTGGCCACCAACATTGGCATGCTGCTGTCCTTCCGATTCATTGCCGGTTTCTTCGGTTCTCCAGTTCTGGGTTCGGGGGGCGGAATCCTGATGGATTTGTATGCAGCGCGAAAGCAAACCTATGCCATGGCAATGTGGGCTCTCATTGGCATCGGGGGCCCGACAATTGGCCCGATTATCGGTGGGTTTGCTGTCGAAGCCATGGGCTGGAAGTGGACGGCTTGGATTACCGCTTGGATGGGGACGACAACACTCGTCGTGATGCTCTTCTTCCTCCCGGAAACCAGCGCCGACAACATCTTGTACCGACGTACTCTTCGACTACGCAGGGCAACAGGCGATCGACGTTATATCTGCGACGCCCAAATCAAGTGGGAAGACACGACGGGTAGAGAGGTGTTTTTGACTCATCTAATCAGGCCGTTCACGATGGCCATGACCGAGCCGGTTGTCTTCCTCCTAACGCTATACAGTTCCTTCATCTACGGCCTGATGTACATCTGGTTCGAGGCACTTCCCATGGCCTATGAAGAGGTCTACCACTTCGACCTGGGAACTCGCAGCATCACTCTTTTGGGCCTGATCGTCGGTGTCCTTTTGATAATTCCTCCGTTCTTCCTTTATTATAGGAAGCGTATCGAGCCTCACTTCGACCACCTGGGCAACATTGAGCCTGAAAAGCTTTTATTGCCGGCCATGCTTGGGTGCCTCTTCCCGCCGGCTAGTCTGCTGTGGTTCGGGTTTACAGCGAAACCCACTACCCACTGGAGTGTTCCCATTGTCGGGTCATCGTTGTTCACATCCGGCGCTCTGCTGCTGTTCATCTCCTTCATGAACTACCTCGGAGAGTCATTCCCGGATCATATAAACTCAATCTTCGCAGGGCATGAGATATTCACTAGTCTATGCGGCGGCACGTTCCCTCTGTTTGTGCCGCTGTTGTATTTCAAGCTGGGCATCCTGGGATCGAGCATCTTGCTGGCCATTTTTGCTGTGTCCTTTGTTCCCGTACCATTTATTCTCTTTTTGGTAAGTTTCCGAGTGACAAACAGTTCGTGTCTGTGGCTGACTCCATCACAGAAGGGGGCAAAGCTGAGAAAGCGTAGTCGTCACACTAGAAAGGATAGCTTCCACGCCTAGAGACATATATAAGCACCAAGAGCATTCTACTAGAGCGAGGAGTGAATCTTTATTTCGACAAGAGATTAAAAAGATATTGAAGTTCTGACCTAGCCGATTCCGTATGCTCTGCCAGAGCTCCGCGAGACTATTTCCAGCAGTCTAGTTCATCACAAGTGTCGTCGGCAATTTCCTTGCACTTGCTGATACACTTAAAGGGATGGATGTCTGGGATTTCGCATTGCTTGGTGCAATGCGTAAAAACACGCATAAAACACCTTGGGAGGCCTCCATACATACAACCAGAAGTTTTCTTGTCGATGTCGAGGGGCGGATACCCGGCTTCTTGTTGCTGAACTGCCCGCATGTCTTGATAAACTTCGTCCTTGAGGAGACCTGGTATGAAGTCGACCCCTGGAATGAATTTGATGTCCTCGATCTCGTCCGATGTAAAGGACGATTGATGGCTGTGGCGATGATGCCGAAGAGGAGGACCTGAGCGTTGAAGTAGTACACATGGTAATGGAACGTGTTATGGCATGATGTAGAGTTCGACAGGACTTACGAGGTTTCTCAGATGCATCGCGGCGAGGACGTCAGCGGCTTGAGTGACTTTGTTCAACAAGTTGATCAACGGGGCTATGAGGGTCGACCCGGGCCTGGCTTGATATAACAGAGAAACAACAAGATTAGAATCTTGCCAATGGAGTGGACACCGCCAAAGTCTGTCGCATACATACCTAACCGAGCCAAGTTTCCTCCTGTGCCAGAGATACAACGCTGTACGACGTGACGGGCATATTCAGTTGCTATCCTTCTTTTGCACCCGATGCTGCATGTACCTCCTGGGTAAAAGGTGTAACAAGAAGTCGCACAAGACCCACAGTATCTCAGGTCAAGCCAGGCAATCTTTGGCTTCACACGCCGCCTGGACGCCGCCTGGAAGCAAATCTAGGCCACATCAGACCTTGGACGGGCCAGGACATAAACAATACATCTTCCGAGAAGGTCCAGAAGTGCCGATTGCTGCCACGAGAATGTGATGACGTTCGCTAAGTCGGGTCTACTGCCTTCTTGACGCGTAGGTAGGGTTCCTGATTGCGTGGGTGTCTTTTGACTGCCTGGCCAGTCCCTCTGTGTACGACGGGCCGGAGCCATCTATCGGCCCCACATGTCCGGATGCTGTCCGGTACACCTTCTCATCACTACCTAAGGCCGCCCGCCAGGCCTTTTGACTTATATGAGGAGGAGCAGAAGAAACTATTGCCAAGTTCACGCAATTTCACATGAACAAATGAATGTCTTCTTGTTGTAGTTCTACCAGCTAATAGCCCTCTCAAACACCAAACTTCTTCAAGTCCTTCACCAAGTCACTGATGCTCTCCTCCAGACTCCTCCACTTAATCCCCAGAATCTTCGCCGTCTCCGAGTCATCATACCCGTAGACCTTATCCTTCGGCGGCTGCTCCCCGCCCTTCGTCCCAGGCGCCGGCAACCTCTCCTTCAGATCGGGGAAGTTCTTCCTCACGACCTCCGCAATCTCCGCATTGCTGAACCACCCGGCTGTCGTAAACAGACGCTTACCCCCGGCCTCGGCCTTCTCCAGCGCCAGGATGTGCGCCAGCGCGAGGTCCCGCACGTCGATCCACAGGTACGCCGCGCCCGTCGGCGCCACCTCCTCCTTCCACTTGCCCTTGACCAGGTCCACAACCCGCTCGTTGGACGTGTTGATGCTGCTCAGGTCCGCAAAGTGGTGCACCACGGGGCCCAGCACGAGCGGCGGGCAGACGGTGACCAAATCGAAGCCGGGCTTCTCCTTCTCCACAAACTCCCACGCGGCCTTCTCGGCCAGCTTCTTGCTCGCGCGGTACGCCGTCGCCGGGCTGCGCCCGATGTCGTCCACCGTCACGGGGTTCCAGTACTTCTCGCTGAAGACCGTATTCGGGTCCGCGAGCTTCGCCTCGTCGATGATGGACGCGAAGCTGCTCGTGACGACGACCCGCTTGACGCCGGGCGCGTCGCGCTTGAGGGCCTTGAGAATGGCCGTGGTGCCGACGAGCGCGGGGTCGATGAGCTCCTTCTTGGCGTCGGTCCACTTGAAGTGGAACGGCGAGGCCGTGTGCAGGACGGCCTCGAGGCCGGGCGTCTTGACGACCTCGTCGAAGGCGTCGGGCTGCGCGATGTCCGGGACGATGGCGATGGTGAGGCGCTTGGCGTCGAGGTCCGGGTGGGCGTCGCGAATCTTCTGGGCCTTGTCCTCGGAGCGGACGGTGGTGACGACGTCGTGGCCGCGTTCGAGCAGTTGCTCGAGGATGTGGGCGGCGATAAAGCCGGAGCCGCCTGGATGAGGGCAGTCAGTGTGATGTCACGGTGATGTTTCCTTCATCTTGAGGCATGGAAGAAGTGCAAAGGGTGAGGATTCACTCACCTGTAAGAAGAATCTTGGTCATCTTGTCCGTTTTTACTCTTGGGTGGTCAATTGGATTCTCCGGGTGACGATGTCAGTTTTGAAGCAATCCTATGAGCTTCAAGCTGTGGTATTGAAATTGCCAATAGTGAACGTTCCGAGATGCTTCCGTTATTTATTCACGTACCTTTGTGACCCCCAACGCATTACCCCTCCATTGCATGATGAATAACACCAGAATTGCCCCGCTTCGCGCCTATCTCCCCCGCCATTAACTCCCCCGTGGGAGGCCCGGCCCCGTCATCACGTCATTCCGACCACTCAAATGCAATTCATTCGCTTACCCAATCCTTAGCACTTCCTCGGCTTCGTTACCACCGATGTCGCAAGTCGCTTGAATGACACGGAGTTTGCTGGCGATAACAGCGTTGGCTGACACGCGATTATTCCGATGCGGTCCCAATCGCCGAATTGCGCCGCGATTCCACTGCCCGCCCCGTTGGCCGATGGATCCGACACCCTGGCAACCCCGTCCACACTGCCGGGTCGGTCCGTCTTACAGTCGCCAACGGAGCGGCACAGCTGAATCATCTCACGGAACTACACGTCAAGAGATGGGCTATGCATCAGGTTCTTATTCCTACAAACGAAATAATACAAACGTTCTGTTCGACTTCGACTCTTTGAGCCCAGCTGCTCGCTTTACCACTCCTCCAACGGATGGTCTCAGATTCGCTGTTTTGGGGGGGCAAGTCCAGTCAAACCTTGGTGATCGACCGACCGTTTCCTTCCCCATAAATTCTCAATAGCCAGAATCCCAATCTATTTGCCCGACGCCGGCGCCTTTGTGCGAGGCGTTATCAAAGTAAGCCCCAGGGGAGGGGAGAGTTGTTATGTTTTTTTTGCGTAGAGCGGTTGTTTCGCCTTGTCTTCCACATTTCTTTTCGGGTTCGATTAGTCTCGACCAAAAAAAGCCGCTCCCCCAAACCTGCCGGCCATGCCTTCCTATGTCCAAAGCGAAAAAGCTCGCAAGTTCTTCTCTCGAATCGCTAAAACGCCTGCCATGCTGTACCGGTGAATGATACAAGTAAGACAATCTGAGTGCCTCCTCTAGCCGTCTCTCGGCCTCCGCACTCGTGCATGTAACCTTGAAGTGAATGAATGTTTCAAACCAAGACCGGATGGCCTCCGATCATGACTTCTGGTTCGGGCCCGGAACCATGCCGCCCGTTGACGCCGGTGGCGGCGGTGCCGGAGGTGGAGTCGCGGGACCCTCGCTAGGTGGGGGAATGGGTGGGGGGATCTGTTGGCCGATGGCAGCTCCTGCGTTGACGGGGACCTTCATCGGGCCATTGGGCACCGGCACACGATCGACGAGCTTCTCGCCGCGGATGACCTTCGCAACCTCGTTCTTGTCCAACGTCTCGTACTCGACGAGGGCCTTGGCAAGGAGGTCAAGTTCCTTGCGCTTGAGGGTGAGAAGCTCACGCACGCGCTCGTACGACTCGCTCAGGGTCCTCTGGACTTCAGACTCGATGAGAGCCTTGGTCTCTCCGCTGAGCTGGTTGTAACGCTTGCCGTACTCGACAGGGCCGAGCTTGGCAGACATGCCGTAAAGTGCAACCATCTGGAAGGCCAGGTTGGTGGCGTTTTCAAGATCCTAAAATATGTCAGCAGACTTCAATTGAACTAGGAACCAAAGAACTCACGCTGGAGACACCGGTAGTCACCTTGTCGGTGCCGTAGACGAGCTCCTCAGCAAGCTTGCCGCCCAAAGAAGTCTCGATCAGACTCTTCAAGTCCCTAGTCGTGTACGAGTACTTGTCCATCTCGGGGAGATGCGCCGTGTGGCCGAGACTCTGGCCGCGAGGCAGAATGGTAACCTTGTACAGCTTGTTGGGTCCGCTCTCGTTGAAGAAGGAAACCAGGGCGTGGCCAGCCTCATGGTAAGCAGTCATCTCTTTCTCCTTCGGTCCAATAACCATGCTCTTGCGCTCAGCGCCCATGATAACCTTGTCCTTGGCCCACTCAAAGTCGTTCATGCTGACAGTCTGAGCCTTGAGTCTGCTCGCGCGGACAGCGGCCTGGTTGACAATGTTCTCCAGCTCGGCTCCAGAAAGACCTCCAGTGCTTGCGGCGATGGCTTCGAAGTTGATCTCAGGGGCGGCCTTGACCTTCTTGGCGTGGTACTTCAGAATAGCGATACGACCACGGACATCAGGGAGGGAAACGGTGACGTGGCGGTCGAATCGTCCAGGTCGGGTAAGAGCCTTGTCGAGGAGCTCGGGAAAGTTGGTCGCGGCGATGATGACGACACCACTGTTCTGCTCGAAGCCGTCCAATTCGGTGAGAAGCTGGTTGAGAGTCTGCTTGTGGTACGCGGCATCCCTCGTGTTGCGTCGTCCACCAATGGCGTCGAGCTCGTCGATGAAGATGATGGCGGGAGACTTGGACTTGGCCGAGGCAAAGAGATCACGAACACGCTTGGCTCCAACACCGACGTAGACCTCGTCGAATTCGCTGCCAGACATGTAGAAGAAGGGAACACCAGCCTCGCCGGCAACAGCGCGTGCGAGAAGAGTTTTACCAGTACCGGGGGGGCCGACCATCAGAA